TATATTCATCATTGTTGTTTTTGAGTGCCATTTTTCCATGACACTAAGTCGTTGTTCATCTTTCTTTTTATTTACCTTAACTAATTTCTCTTCATCACTATCTGTTGATTTATATTCCCATTGAACTCCCCATTGTTTGTCTATCGTTTCACATAACTCTGTTGTTCTATGGAAAAGATCTTTAAATGTTCTATTTAAATGTTCTAATTCTTCATTAAATCTTTCATTATTTTCTCGTAACATTTTAATATCTTCACTTAATGGTAAACTATTAACATCTCCAAGAATTCCTTGCATCTTAACTCTAATATCTAGTGCAGTATCAAATAATTTAATTTGGTTAGAAACATCTTCTTTTTCAACATCATTTGTTTTCTTTTGTATAGTTTCAACATTTAATGTTTGTTGAATTAATTTATCAGCCTCATCTTCTTCACTTTCTTCTTTATTACTTTCATTATTTTCTTCTTCTTCACTCATTGAATAATTTTCTTCATTACTTTCATTTTCTTCAGAACTTTCTTTCAATTCTTCACTCATTGAATTACCTTCTTCACTTTCTTCATTTGATTTAGAAAAATTATTGAATGCATCTTCTTTATTAACGACTTTCCCTTCCCATTTTTTGTCCTCTTTAATCCCTTGTGCTGCTTTAATCTTACCAACTGTTAATGATTCCTTCATTTTGAGCTCTTCATCATTTTCAATCTTTGCCTTGTCAATTTCTTCCTCTCCAAATTCTTTTGGTTGTCCAATAAGCTCATTAATTGCTTTTTCAATTTCTTCTCTTCTTGACATAATTATTGAAATTCTTTTCTAATTCTTTTTTTAACCCTTTTTATTTTTTTGATTTTCTTTAAAAACAATATAATTAGTTTTGTTATAGTTAATTATAGTTAATTTATTAGAGATAGATTCTGTGTGATGTGATTGGACTGATTTGTGAATGACAAATAGGACAGAGTGGCGTTTTATCGCTTGATGTAAAAACTATAGCCAAACATGCTTTACAAAATAAATGACCACATTGTGTTGTCATTACATTTCGTGTTAATTGAAGACAAATTGGACATTCAATTCCTTCACATTTTTTAGTCACTTCATTTTGATAAGTGAAACTTTCACTTTTATTTTGTTTAGACATACTCGTTACTTTTGATAAAATGTC